TGTGTCCTCGTGTCCGTTGTGTGTGTTCTCGTGTCCGTTGTGTGTGTCTCGTGTCCGTTGTGTGTGTCCTCGTGTCCGTTGTGTGTGTCTGTGTCCGTTGTGTGTGTCTCGTGTCCGTTGTGTGTGTGTCTGTTGTGTGTGTGTGTGTGTGTCCGTTGTGTGTGCCTCGTGTCCGTTGTGTGTGTCTCGTGTCCGTTGTGTGTGTCCGTGTCTGTGTGTGTCTCGTGTCCGTTGTGTGTGTCTCGTGTCCGTTGTGTGTGTCTCGTGTCCGTTGTGTGTGTGTCTCGTGTCCGTTGTGTGTGTCTCGTGTCGTGTGTGTGTGTTCGTGTCCGTTGTGTGTGTCTCGTGTCCGTTGTGTGTGTCTGTGTCCGTTGTGTGTGTCTCGTGTCCGTTGTGTGTGTCTCGTGTCCGTTGTGTGTGTCTCTGTGTCCGTTGTGTGTGTCCTCGTGTCCGTTGTGTGTCTCGTGTCCGTTGTGTGTCCTCGTGTCCGTTGTGTGTCTCGTGTCCGTTGTGTGTGTCCGTGTCGTTGTGTGTGTGTGTGTTTTTGGTGTGTTGTGGTGTTGTTGTGTGTTGTGTGTGTCTGTGTTTGTGTGTGTCGTGTGTTGTGTGTGTCTCGTGTCTGTTGTGTGTCTCGTGTCGTTGTGTGTGTCTGTGTCGTTGTGTGTGTGTGTGTTGTGGTTGTCGTTGTGTGTGTTGTGTGTTTGTGTGTGTCCTCGTGTCTGTTGTGTGTGTCCTCGTGTCCGTTGTGTGTGTCTCGTTGTTGTTGTGTGTGTCCTCGTGTCCGTTGTGTGTGTCCTCGTGTCCGTTGTGTGTGTCCTGTGTCCGTTGTGTGTCCTCGTGTCCGTTGTGTGTGTGTGTGTGTCCGTTGTGTGTGTCTGTGTCCGTTGTGTGTGTCCTCGTGTCCGTTGTGTGTCCTCGTGTCCGTTGTGTGTGTCTCGTGTCCGTTGTGTGTGTCCTTGTGTCCGTTGTGTGTGTCCTGTGTCCGTTGTGTGTGTCCTCGTGTCCGTTGTGTGTCTCTCGTGTCCGTTGTGTGTGTCTCGTGTCCGTTGTGTGTGTCTCGTGTCTGTTTTGTGTGTCTCGTGTCTGTTGTGTGTCTGTGTCGTTGTGTGTGTGTGTCGTTGTGTGTGCTCGTGTCCGTTGTGTGTGTCCCGTGTCCGTTGTGTGTGTCCTCGTGTCCGTTGTGTGTGTCCTCGTGTCCGTTGTGTGTGTCCTCGTGTCCGTTGTGTGTCTTTAATTATTAAATTTCATTGGGATAAATAAAAATAAAAGTGGTTTGTTTCAAGCGTTCTTATTGGTCGGAGGGAGTGTTACATGGTTCGTTTCAAGCGTTCTTATTGGTCGGAGGGAGTGTTACATGATTTGTTTCAAGTGTTCTTATTGGTCAGATAAATATGTAGTTTGTTAAAGGTAATCTTATTGGTGTTTAGACTTACCTAAATTATTTCACACACAGATCATGTCTCTGGTCTGACTGACTGGCTCTACAAGTAACTGCTACACTGATGCTACTCTGTGCCTCAGCCAGTAGTGGAAAGTAACAGTAAGTATCACAACCTCATTAAAGTTACTTATAATACTTACCTGATAATGAATGTTTATTAAAGTGTTGTAAAGTGACGTATCTGGGTTATTATTATTATTATTATTATTATTATTATTATTATTATTATTATTATTATTATTATTATTATTATTATTATTTTATTATTATTATTATTATTATTATTTATGGTGACTGTTGTTGGTGTGTAATAATAACAACACCGTAGGAGCGGCCATGTTATCAGAGCTGCCCAGACAACGGTTAATCTCGCTGTGTAAAGATAAACAAAAAATTTAATAAATCCGCATCACATTATGGCCAAATAAACCGTGATCCGTTTTAATTAAACCGATACATAACCGGGCGGAGGTGGGTGGTATCGGGAAGCCAGACTGTGATCGGGAGGACAGACTGTGATCGGGAAGTCCAGACTGTGATCGGGTGGACAGACTGTGATCGGGTATACTAAGGTCGGGTCAGAATGCATTAGAAGAACAGTTAAGTGTTTCATGTTGGTCTGTTTACCTGCTGAGGAATGGTGACCTGAGAGTCTTGGATTATGTAATTTATATCTCTTTTGTTTTAATTTTGTTATTTACAGAGTTATTGTTGTTAATCTTTTTTTAGAGGTTAATAAAAGGGATTTGTTTACTTTATTTATCTATTTATTTTAATTTGTTTATTTAATTTTGTTATTCATATTATTATTATTGTTGTGTTTTATTTTTCTTCTAAATTGGTCCAGATTGAAGTAGTGAAGGTAGGTGCGATAAACTGGTTACTCATCGATAATATCTACGCTTCCTGCATTACCTACCAGTGGCCAATCATAAGTGTCGCGTCGGAAACTGTGATTTGTGATTGGGTATTTTTAGACCGGGTACAGGCCACTTGTGATTTATCGAAATGTTGTTTACTGCGTTCTGTTTCTTGTTCAGTGTTGTGTTGTGTTGTGTTGTGTTGTCTGCTGCACTATTCTGTACTCTGCTGTAATACGACTATTAAAAAAAACACAAAATCCAACTTCAATGACTAAGAACAAACACCATCCTCCCCCTCCTCTCAACACACACACACACACACACACCTGTTTGCTTTCTCTCTCACTTGTGTTTATCTGTACATGAAAGTCAAACCCACTCGGGTAAACTCATATCAGTGTCCACATAAAAGCCCTGCCTCTGTAACTTGACGTGACCTCTGACCTCTGTGTTGTTTTGAAGGGAAAAAACCAACCCCACCTTCTTTATTTGATTATGACCTTAATGGTGTTTGGGTTATTAGTGATCTCTAATGACCTGGGTGTTTTTAGAGTGGATGGTGAACATGGTAAATGATGACCTTAAGACAGGGAGTGAGTGTAGTTTTGACCTTGTGGTGTGTGTGTGTGTGTGTGTGTGTGTGTGTGTGTGTGTGTGTGTGTGTGCGTGTGCGAGAAACTTCCTCCCAGAATCTTAATGTGGCTTCAGACCATCACGTGGCACCACTGACATGATCTTGCTCCCGCCAAATACAGGAAAAGTGCAGAGAACAGCGTCGTGACCTAACCAAGGCCTTCGACTCCGTCAACAGGGAAGCCCTGGTGGACCCTCAGCCGTTTGGCTGCCCAAAAAATTATCGCCAATGTGAGGCAACTCCACGAAGGCATGAACGGCAGTGTCCTGCACAATGGCACCCAGTCTGAGTTCTTTTTCCATCCAAACAGGGGTTAAACAAGGTGTGTACTGGCACCAACTCTCTCTTCCATTTTCTTGGCTGCCTTCCTTACTCGTGCCAGTGCCAATTTAGCCGGCGGGGTGGACATCGAGTACCAGGTGAAGGATCTTTTCAACACAAGACGACTCCAGGCTTGAACAAAGGTGTCAGCAGCTGCCGTTACTGAACTTCAGTATGCAGACGACCTCACTCTTGTTGCTCACACTGAATGCGACCTACAGGAGATCCTGAACACCTTCGCAGATGCGTATGCACACTTGGGCCTTGAGGTGAATGCACGTAAGACTCAGATTCTCTTTCAACCTGCCCCTGGTTCAGAACCCTCCACCATCCATCCATCTTAACGGTACTACCCTCTGTAATGTTACCCACTTTTGCTACCTGTCCACCACCGCGAACATCGATGAAGAGATTCACCATCGGATCAGATGTGCCTCCTAAGCCTTTGGCAGACTCCGAAACCGTGTCTTCAGCTCTAGGGCGCTGAAATTATCTACAAGTTACAGTATATCGAGCTGTGGCCCTCCCCACCCTACTATATGGCACTATGGCAGCGAGACATGGGTCACATACAGGAGGAACCTCAAGGCACTTGAAAACTTTCCTTAACATAGTCTACGTTCCATCCACTGAGTTCGCTGGGAAGACAAGAGAACAAATGCCAACATCCTTGCTGACACCAACTATCGGAGCATCGAGGCTACCATTATCCATAAACAATACGCTGGTCTGGCCATGTTACCCGCATGGGCGACAGTAGACTGCCAAAGCAGCTACTTTGCAGTCACCTAACGAATAGTAAATGTAATGCTGGAGGGCAACTGAAAATGTATAAGGATAGTCTTAAGACAATCCTGAAAAAGTGCCAAATCGACCCCAACATGGGAGACGATTACTCCACATCGTAGCGCTTGGAGGAGCACCACACGAGAAGGTGTCAATAATTTTGAGTTAGCCCGACTGCAAACTGAGGCAGACAAGCGCCAACGCCGGAAACACGCTGCCGCCGCCCCTCCCGCACTTGATGTAGCCCTCCACAGGTGCAAAATCTGTGAACGATTCTGCCGGTCCCGCATCGGCCTCTTTAGTCACCTCAAAACTCACCAATGAAGGTGACATCCTTAATAACTCATATCATTGTATCTTAGCTGGATGATCGTCATACTCGATTCCGAGTGACAGCAAAATAGTAGTAGTAGTAGTAGTAGTAGTAGTAGTAGTAGTAGTAGTAGTAGTAGTAGTAGTAGTGTGTGTGTGTGTGTGTGTGTTATTAATGACCTTTGACACAGTCTCCTGGTTGGTAGTTGCGTGCTTGATCAATTTAGTTCTTGGTAATTAGAGTGTTTAATAACCTCTGACCCCGGTATTTGGACCTACTCCCCCGTTATTGGGACTGGTCTTGTGTCTGAAAATAATAACAGTGACCTCTTAAACCTAACCTGACCTAACCTTACCTTACCTTACCTTTTGACAAGTGACCTTCGGCCTCCAAAGGCACGGAAACAAACCTGTCTGAAGCACTTTTTTCCTCCTCATCTCTTCACTTCCAGGAAATATCACACATACATTTCCCCAGTAAAATTTCCCCACCCCGTCGTCCTGGTTAAAAAAATTCCCTTATCAGACATTTTTTATCTGAATTTAGTAATGGAAATTTTTTACTGGGAATTTTTTTCTTCCCTATTTCAGAGTTGAGTTGAAATTTGGGGTAATTGATGATAATTAAGATTGCTGAAACGAGATGGAAGGGAAAAAATCAGTGGGAGTAAAGTGTGGTCCAGAGTGTGGCGTGTGGTCCAGAGTGTGGCGTGTGGTCCAGAGTGTGGCGTGTGGTCCAGAGTGTGGCGTGTGGTCCAGAGTGTGGCGTGTGGTCCAGAGTGTGACGTGTGGTCCAGAGTGTGACGTGTGGTCCAGAGTGTGACGTGTGGTCCAGAGTGTGACGGGTCAGAGTGTGACGCGAGGTCAGAGTGTGACGCGAGGTCAGAGTGTGACGCGAGGTCAGAGTGTGACGCGAGGTCCAGAGTGTGACGTGTGGTCCAGAGTGTGACGCGTGGTCCAGAGTGTGGCGTGTGGTCAGAGTGTGGCGTGTGGTCCAGAGTGTGGCGTGTGGTCCAGGTGTGACGTGTGGTCCAGAGTGTGACGTGTGGTCCAGAGTGTGACGTGTGGTCAGGGTGTGTGTGGTCCAGAGTGTGGCGTGTGGTCCAAAGTGTGGCGTGTGGTCAGAGTGGCGTGTGGTCAGAGGTGTGGCGTGGTCCAGAGTGTGGCGTGTGGTCAGAGTGTGGCGTGTGGTCCAGAGTGTGACGTGTGGTCCAGAGTGTGACGTGTGGTCAGAGTGTGACGTGTGGTCCAGTGTGTGACTTATGGTCCAGAGTGTGACTTGTGGTCAGAGAGTGTGATGCGTGGTCCAGAGTGTGACGTGTGGTCCAGAGTGTGACGCGAGGTAGAGTGTGACGTGTGGTCCAGAGTGTGACGTGTGGTCCAGAGTGTGACGTGTGGTCCAGAGTGTGACGTGTGGTCCAGAGTGTGGCGTGTGGTCAGAGTGTGGCGTGTGGTCAGGTGTGGCGTGTGGTCAGAGTGTGGCGTGTGGTCCAGAGTGTGACGCAGGTCAGAGTGTGACGTGGGTCCAGAGTGTGACGTGTGGTCAGAAGTGTGACGTGTGGTCAAGTGTGACGTGTGGTCAGAGTGTGACGTGTGGTCCAGAGTGTGACGTGTGGTCAGAGTGTGACGTGTGGTCAGTATTTGGTTCACTCTAGCGTGTTGAATAAACAGTGAACTTCTCTTGTATATATATATCTTTCCTTTCAACCACCACTACCACCTCTACCACTATCAGCACTACAACAACAACCATCTTCCACTACCAAGCACCCTTTTCAATATCATCCCATCACCACCACCCTACTACTACCACCACCACCACCACCCACTACCACCACCACCACCCACTACCACCACCACCACCACCACCCACTACTACCACCACCGCCACCACCACCACCCACTACTACCACCACCACACCACCATCCACTACTACCACCACCACCCTACTACCACCACCACCACTACTACCACCACCACCACTACTACCACCACCACCCTCTACCACCACCACCACCACCACCCACTACCACCACCACCACCACCCTCATACCACCATTCACTCACACGTGTTTGAGGCGCACAAGTATGTAGACGCCAGGTACCCACACACACACACACACACATACGTACAGACGATTTGTAAACATCAACTTAACTACTCATATACTGAAAAACAAAACAATATTTCATACCCACAGAAATACAAGAATTTAACACCACTAACACTTGAGGCAGAAGACTGAATTTGTCGTGCATCTGAGCATCTGTGTGGCGGCCATGATGGGTCCTTCATCCCACTGAAAATTATGGAAAAGTCTGTTTCTTTATTTACTTTTCTTAAATGATATAATGTGATATTCTCAATTTATATTCCAATAGTTGTGATCATGTTAGTTAGTTTCATATTTTCCCGAGTGCTAAAAGTGAGTTTCCATACACGCTGAGGTGTTAGGGGGAAATAAAGCAAGGGAATGAAAAGCTCGCCTGTCATTCTGAGGTGGAGGAAGGTAGGTAGACAGCCCTGGCAACAGACAACACACATGACCATTTGGATTTTTACAGGTTCCCCATTGATAAAGGACAACTTTGTAGAGGTTTTCTTATTGGTTGGTGACGCTAACCACCAGCTGTGTTGTTATATGACGTCACAGCTTCCTTCCTGACTCCACTAAAAAAACAAAAACAGTGTGACTTGCTCTTCACCTGCTGAAAGATGGATAGATAAATAAATACATAGATAGATGGATGGATGGATGATGGAGAGAGAGGGGGAGAGAGAGGGAGAGTAAAATCATAATACAAGTAAGTTTATAATTGGTTAGGTTAGGTCCTAAGCTACCTGGCCCAAACCAAATGTCCGTCACCCAAACGTTCTACATTCAACCACTACGACTATTGGGGGTGTTAAGGGGGGGCTCAGGGGTGGTCTTTGGAATGGAAGTGTGGAGGTAAAATGAAAATAGTTTACCATTATTGCCTCAAACTCTGCAACTCTCGCTGGTAATGGAATACTGTGTCGGGTCTTTACAGGTCACAGTGTGTGGCTGGATTCCACATTGGTCCAGTAGGTTCCACACCATAATATACCTGTTGGTCTTTTGCCTTTTATTTTTTTTCAGTGAGACCTTTAGAGATGGAGGGTGAGGGTGGTGATGGAGGGTGAGGGTGGTGATGGAGGGTGAGGGGGGTGGTGATGGAGGGTGAGGGGGTGGTGGAGGTGAGGGTGATAGTGGAGGGTGAGGGGTGGTGATGGAGGGTGAGGGGTGGTGGTGGAGGGTGAGGGGTGGTGATGGAGGGTGAGGGGTGGTGTTGGAGGGTGAGGGGTGGTGATGGAGGGTGAAGGGTGGTGATGGAGGGTGAGGGGGTGGTGGTGGGGGTGAGGGGTGGTGTGGAGGGTGAGGTGGTGATGGAGGTGAGGGGTGGTGGTGGAGGGTGAGGGGTGGTGATGGAGGGTGAGGGGTGGTGATGGAGGGTGAGGGGGTGGTGATGGAGGGTGAGGGGGTGGTGATGGAGGGTGAGGGTGATGTGGAGGGTGAGGGGTGGTGTTGGAGGGTGAGGGGTGGTGATGGAGGGTGAGGGGTGGTGGTGGAGGGTGAGGGTGGTGTTGGAGGGTGAGGGGTGGTGGTGGAGGGTGAGGGGTGGTGGTGGAGGGTGAGGGGTGGTGTGGAGGGGTGAGGGTGGTGATGGAGGGTGAGGGTGGTGAGGAGGGTAGGGGAGGTGATGGAGTGTGAGGGGTGGTGATGGAGGGTGAGGGGTGGTGATGGAGGTGAGGGGTGATGGTGGAGGGTGAGGGGTGGTGATGGAGGGTGAGGGGTGGTGATGGAGGGTGAGGGTGGTGATGGAGGGTGAGGGGTGGTGATGGAGGGTGAGGGTGGTGATGGAGGGTGAGGGGTGGTGGTGGAGGGTGAGGGGTGATGGTGGAGGGTGAGGGGTGGTGGTGGAGGGTGAGGGGTGATGTGGAGGGTGAGGGGGTGGTGGTGGAGGTGAGGGGTGGTGGTGGAGGGTGAGGGGTGGTGGTGGAGGTGAGGGGTGGTGGTGGAGGGTGAGGGGTAGAGGGGAGGGTGAGGGGTGGTGGTGGAGGGGTGAGGGTGGTGATGGAGGGTGAGGTGGTGATGGAGGGGTGAGGGGTGGTGGTGGAGGTAAAGGGGTGGTGCAAGAGGAAGGAGGAGGGAGGGAGGATGTATGGGGAGGAAGGGCACGGTAAGGATGGGGAGGAAGGGAGAGGGGAAGGGGAGGGAGGGGGAGGAGGGGACAAGGCAGGATAATCTGCCGTAATTTTCCACTTAGTTCCCAGTGACGTCACGGTGTGTTTACAAACATCGATCGGTTCATTAATTCCGTGTTGGATCGTCTTCCGTCATCCTTAATAAACTCAGAGGCTGGAGGACGTACTCTCTGGTGTGTGGTCCTCAGCATGGCGTCCTGTGTGTGTGGTCCTCAACATGGCGTCCTGTGTGTGTGTGGTTCTCAACATGGCGTCCTGTGTGTGTGTGGTTCTCAACATGGCGTCCTGTGTGTGTGGTCCTCAACATGGCGTCCTGTGTGTGTGTGTGGTCCTCAACATGGCGTCCTGTGTGTGTGGTCCTCAACATGGCGTCTGTGTGTGTGGTCCTCAGCATAGCGTCCTGTGTGTGTGTGTGGTCCTCAGCATGGCGTCCTGTGTGTGTGGTTCTCAACATGGCGTCCTGTGTGTGTGTGGTCCTCAGCATGGCGTCCTGTGTGTGTGTGGCCTCAACATGGCGTCCTGTGTGTGTGTGGTTCTCAACATGGCGTCCTGTGTGTGTGGTCTCAACATGGCGTCCTGTGTGTGTGTGTGTGGTCCTCAACATGGCGTCCTGTGTGTGTGTGTCCTCAACATGGCGTCCTGTGTGTGTGTGGTCCTCAACATGGCGTCCTGTGTGTGTGTGGTCCTAACATGGCGTCCTGTGTGTGTGTGGTCCTCAACATGGCGTCCTGTGTGTGTGTGTGGTCCTCAACATGGCGTCCTGTGTGTGGTCTCAACATGGCGTCCTGTGTGTGTGGTCCTTAACATGGCGTCCTGTGTGTGTGGTCCTCAGCATGGCGTCCTGTGTGGTCCTCACATGGCGTCTCTGTGTGTGTTGTCCTCAACATGGCGTCCGTGTTGTGGTCCTTAACATGGCGTCCTCTGTGTGTGGTCCTCAACATGGCGTCCTGTGTGGTGTGGTCCTCAACGTCCTCTGTGGTTGTGGTCCTCAACATGGCGTCCTGTGTGTCCTTAACATGGCGTCCTGTGTGTGTGGTCCTCAGCATGGCGTCCTGTGTGTGTGGTCCTCAACATGGCGTCCTGTGTGTGGTCCTCAACATGGCGTCCTGTGTGTGTGGTCCTCAGCATGGCGTCCTGTGTGTGTGGTCCTCAACATGGCGTCTCTGTGTGTGTGGTCCTCAGCATGGCGTCCTGTGTGTGTGTGTGGTCCTCAACATGGCGTCCTGTGTGTGGTCTCAACATGGCGTCCTGTGTGTGTGTGTGTGGTCCTCAGCGTCCTGTGTGTATGTGGTTCTCAACATGGCGTCCTGTGTGTGTGGTCTCAACATGGCGTCCTGTGTGTGTGTGTGGTCCTCAGCATGGCGTCCTGTGTGTGTGTGGTCCTCAACATGGCGTCCTGTGTGTGTGGTCCTCAACATGGCGTCCTCTGTGTGTGGTCCTCAACATGGCGTCCTCTGTGTGTGGTCCTCAACATGGCGTCCTGTGTGTGTGGTCCTTAACATGGCGTCTGTGTGTGTGGCCCTCAACATGGCGTCCTGTGTGTGTGGTCCTCAACATGGCGTCCTGTGTGTGTGTGGTCCTCAACATGGCGTCCTCTGTGTGTGGTCCTCAACATGGCGTCCTGTGTGTGTGGTCCTCAACATGGCGTCCTCTGTGTGTGGTCCTCAACATGGCGTCCTCTGTGTGTGGTCCTCAACATGGCGTCCTGTGTGTGTGGTCCTCAACATGGCGTCCTCTGTGTGGTCTCAACATGGCGTCCTCTGTGTGTGGTCCTCAACATGGCGTCCTCTGTGTGTGGTCCTCAACATGCGTCCTGTGTGTGTGGTCCTTAACATGGCGTCTTGTGTGTGTGTGGTCTTTAACATGGCGTCCTGTGTGTGGGTGGTCCTCAACATGGCGTCCTGTGTGTGTGGTCCTCAACATGGCGTCCTGTGTGTGTGTGTGGTCCTCAACATGGCGTCCTGTGTGTGTGGTCCTCAACATGGCGTCCTGTGTGTTTGTGGTTCTCAACATGGCGTCCTCTGTGTGTGGTCCTAATATGGCGTCCTCTGTGTGTGGTCCTCAACATGGCGTCCTGTGTGGTCCTCAACATGGCGTCCTGTGTGTGTGTGTGTCCTCAACATGGCGTCCTCTGTGTGTGGTCTCAACATGGCGTCCTGTGTGTGTGGTCCTCAACATGGCGTCCTCTGTGTGTGGTCTCAACATGGCGTCCTGTGTGTGTGGTCCTCAACATGGCGTCCTCTGTGTGTGTGGTCTCAACATGGCGTCCTGTGTGTGTGGTCCTCAACATGGTGTCCTGTGTGTGTGTGTGTGGTCCTCAGCGTCTCTGTGTGGTCTCAGCATGGCGTCCTGTGTGTGTGGTCTCAACATGGCCCTCTGTGTGTGGTCCTCAACATGGCGTCCT